TAATTATAAAGAATAAAAATAAAGTCAACTTGTGGTTAACTCGTAATATGCTAGTATTGGGTTAGGGTTGAACATTTTCAATCTGTAACCCGTTTATGATGCAATCCATATAACTTGTCATTCGAGTTAACTTAACCTGAACCCGACCCAACCTTCTCGTTTGACAAGTCTACTCCATGGATTCTAAGATTATTGGTCGCATCTTAAAACTTAAAAGTATTAATTTCTCAATAATATAATTTAAAAAAATTTTATTTACAAATTTGAAGTGCATATAGTTAATTAGACAATTGTAGTTCTTGTTGAAACACTTTCTAATTATCTTCTGAGTAACTGAAGCAGGAAGACTCTCTCTTGGAGCAGGGCGATCATGCTTTATCTAATAAAGAAAAAGCGAGTTTAAGGAAAAGTTGAAAGTTTGTTGAAATAATGCTTTGTTTCTTGGTCTTCCATCACGTTGGATGTTAATGATGTTTCCAGAACTAACAAATGTTGAGCTTTTCCCCTTTTTTCTTCCCTAAGCATGTAGAATACATATTGAAGTCAGATAAAATTTTATCTTAGATATTGTAATGATATCTCAAGCACTAAATTTTTTTTTAACAGCTGTACTCACTTTATTTTAAAGTAAAACAACTTGCAATATCATTGCCTACTTTCAAAAAACAACTTGCAATAAGAGACAAAACTCGAAGAAATTTTAGGGGTAAATAATTAAAAAAATTGGATGGGACTAAATGAGTAAATTACCTTTATATTTTGTTGGTTTTGAAGATTTTTAAAAACTAACATTTTTCAATCCACTTTATGGGTTAATAGAATGTATTTAAGTGAACCGGGCCTTGTAGCCCAATGATTTGACTCAAAGCCTTAAGTGTTTAGGTGAGGTAGTCGGAGTTTCGAACTCTACCATCGTCGTGAATTCTACTAAAAAGCGGCTTGATAGCCACGCGCCTCATTTGAAGAGGTGGAATGTTCATTCGGTCTGAGAACTAGTTACTAACAATTAAGTCACACTAATTTCTTAATTATTACTCATGTCAAAAAATAGAAAAGAAAAGAATGTATTTAAGTTTTAAAAAATAATAAAAATATAATTAAAAGTTAATTATTAGAAGTAAATAATAAAAAATTAAACTAACATTTTATTCTTGATAAGTTATATTAAATAATGATAATATCATCAAATAATTTATCAATTATTTTTCTAATCTCTACATAAATTATTAATTTTTTTAAGGTTAAACGAAAAAAAAAATCAAAAAATAAAAAGATAAATTGAAAAATTGAAAACTCGCACACCACAAAAGGAAGTCATAGAATAGTAAATTCTATTGTTAAAGATATATTTTTTAATAGTCAATTGATAGCATTTTAAGAATACTAAAACTAACTACCTATACAAAATTTAATTTCAAAAATAATATCTATAACTACACCTAATTATAGGCAATTACTTCTCTAAATATAAAAGAAGAAAATGCCAATAAAGAAAAAGGAAAAGAAAAGAAAGAATAACCAAGATTAGAGCTTTGTAATGATGAGAAGTGAATTGAAATCTTATATGTTAAAAGAAAAAAATATAAAAGTATGAAAGTATATAGAGTAGTCAATAAAATTTTTAAAACTAGATAAATAAAAATTCTATTTACTTGTTTGTTTAATTTTGTTTCAATAGGCATTCCATTTTGATCAATATACTAACTAAATTCTAAATTAAAAATACATTAATATTACAAAATAATAGAAATATGGCAAAAGTAATCTTTTTCAAAACTTCTTACAAAGATTGTCTTCAAAACAAACCAAAACTTTTAAAATACCCTTCAGACTCAACAAAATTTCTTCTCTACTTACATGGATGCCATTTATCACTTATAAAATTATTTTCAAAAGTTAAAAATATTTCTTCTTTTCTCATATAGATATGTCATTTCTAATGTACCATTTATTAATAGAGAATTGGGTGAGAGAAAGGAAAAGAAAAGGAGTGATAGAGAGAAATTGAAAAAGAGTAAGACTCAAAATTTTTATTAATAGATACTATTAAATTACAAAGAATTTGTAAATAAAGAGTAATTAGATTTGAAAGGTAAAAGTGTCAATTTAGGGTACAAA